ATTATATAGTGATATAAGACTTGTTTGGGTGTTCGGGAGAGGGGTGGGATTAAATTATGGGGAATCAAATGCAAAATGGGAATTGACAGTTACTTTTTGCTGATGATACTGTGCTTATGGGAGATTCTAAAGAAAAATTACAAAGGTTAGTTTACAAGTTTGGGAGTGTGTGTAAAGGTAGAAAGTTGAACGTGAACATAGAAAAGAGTAAGGTGATGAGGGTATCAAGTGATTTAGATAAAGAAAAATTTGATATCAAATTGGGGAGGAGTATGGAAGAAGTGAATGTTTTCAGATATTTGGGAGTTGACGTGTCAGCAGATGGATTTATGAAGGAAGAGGTTAATCATTGAATTGATGAAGGAAAAAAGGCGAGTGGTGCATTGAGGTATATGTGGAGACAAAACACGTTAACTATGGAGGCAAAGAAGGGAATGTATGAAAGTATAGTAGTGCCAACACTCTTATATGGGTTGTAAATGTTTCAGCAAGGAGGCAGTTGGAAGCAATGGAGATGTCCTGTTTAAGGGCAATGTGTGGTGTAAATATTATGCAGAAAATTCGGAGTGTGGAAATTAGGAGGTGTGGAGTTAATAAAAGTATTAGTCAGAGGGCTGATGAGGGGTTGTTGAGGTGGTTTGGTCATTTAGAGAGAATGGATCAAAGTAGAATGACATGGAGAGCGTACAAATCTGTAGGGAAAGAAAGGCGGGGTAGGAGTCATCCTCAAAAAGGGTGGAGGGAGGCGGTAAAGGAGGTTTTGTGGGCGAGGGGCTTGGACTTCCAGCAAGCGTGCGTGAGCGTGTTAGGAGTGAATGGAGACGAATGGTATTTGGGACCTGATGAGCTGTTGGAGTGTGAGCAGGGTAATATTTAGTGAAGGGATTCAGGGAAACCAGTTATTTTTATATAGCCGGACTTGAGTCCTGGAAATGAGAAGTACAATGCCTGCACTTTAAAGGAGGGGTTTGGGATATTGGTAGTTTGGAGGGATGTGTTGCGTATCTTTATACGTATATGCTTCTAAGCTGTTGTATTCTAAGTACCTCTGCAAAACCAGTGATTATATGTGAGTGATCTGAAAGTGTTGAATGATGATGAAAGTATTTTCTTTTTGGGGATTTTCTTTCTTTTTGGGTCACCCTGCCTCGGTGGGGGACGGCCGACTTGCTAAAAAAAAAAAAGAAAAAAAAAAATGTTTACAAAATTTTATTAAGATTGAGTCAAATGTTCATAATTTTCTTTTTAACACTTCGGCCATTTCCCACCAAGGCAGAGTGACCCAAAAAGAAAGAAAAAACTTTCATCATCATTCAACACTTTCACCATCACTCATACATAATCACTGTCTTTTCAGAGGCACCCAGATATGACAGTTCAGATGTCCCTGCAAACTGCCAATATTCCAAACCCCTCCACTCCTATCTAACATGCTCACACATACTTGATGGAAGTCCAAGCCCCTTGCCCACAAAACCTCTACCCTCTCCCTCCAACCTGTTATCTAAAAAAAAATATGAAATGTTCATATCTCCTGTACTTATGACCTAAATGGTTCCATAAAAGCCATTGCCTACTGGGCTGTTGTAAGTTGACCCATTATTTTCCATAAGTGCAATGCTATAAATGGGGAGCTCCATTCTTGAAAACAAATTGTATTCACTTAAACCTTCTTTAACCCTTTGAGGGTTTTCGTCGTACTAGTACGTCTTACGCGTAGGGGTTTTTGACGTACTAGTACTCATAAATTCTAGTGGCCTCAAATCTAGTGGGAGAAAGCTGGTAGGCCTTCATATGAAAGAATGGGTCTATGTGGTCAGTGTGCACAGTCTAAAAAAAATCCTGCAGCACACAGTGCATAATGAGAAAAAAAAACTTTGACCATTTTTTTTGAATAAATCAGCGACTTTGCAGTGTATTTTCGTATGGTATTTATTGTTGTATTCTAGTTTTCTTGGTCTCATTTTATAGAATGGAAGACATATTACAGAAATTGAGATGATTTTGACTGGTTTTACAAAGAAAGGTGCCTTGAAATTGAGCTCAAAGTAGCAGAAATATTCGATTTTTACCAAACTTCAAAAGTAAACAAATCGTGCCAAGCGTGCAATACACGTCAACTGGTGAGTCTAATATTCTTTCACAAGTGCACCAATAATATTTATACCATTTTTTACACTAATGCAGTAGTCTGCATAACAGTAAATCTTATATTTTTTGTGAAAATAAAAATTCAAAGTGGAAAGCAAAAGAATATAAGAGGGGCCTTGAGACGTGACTAATGACTAGAGGAAATGTCATTTTAGTGCCAGGAATGTCTTTCTTGTTTATTCTGGACCCTATTCGGAAATTGGCATCTTTTGAAATTTGTGTGAAATTGGCAAAATTGCTAAATTCTGACCACTGTACTGGATAGTTGAATTTCATAAATGAGTGGTTTCTTGCACCCATTCGATAGAAAAAATGGAGTTCTAGCGAAATATTCATGTTTTTTGTCGACTAGTACAGTGAAATTAGCCGAAAATGGGGCTCAAAGTGGGCAAAATCGCCGATGCGTAAACATCGCCGAGACCGCTAACTTTGCGAGAGCATAATTCCGTAAGTTTTCTATCAAATTTCAAACTTTTGGTGTCTTTATGATCGGGAAAAGATTCTCTATCTTTTCATAAGAGAAAATAATTTTTTTTTTTTTAAATTTGGCCGACCCTGAGAACGAGTTTCGGAGAGGGCCTGTCGACCCTCAAAGGGTTAATGGAAGGGAGGTGTAGGTAGGTCTAGGACTGCCTGTACATTCATTAGGCATAAAATAAACAACTTTTTTATTATCAATAGGTACAACCACATTATGTAGCTACTCTGATCTCTAGGACATTTTACAATATTAGAGCAATGTTCACCTATCACACAGGATGGTTTTTCCTGACATAACCCATTGCACAGGATCATTTTCCTATCATAAACCATCATACACGATGGTATTCTTCTCATACTCCATCAAATTGTATGTATCTTACACACAAAGCAATGACATCTTCAAATACGTCACTATGGGCTCAGAAGCTACCATTTCTTTAACCGTTTCAAGGTCTGTGCTGTTGTACTATGGCTTTAAACTTTGGGTTGGCGCTGTAGAGCTAAGAGATGTGCTCGGTTCACTCAGGTAAGCTGTGAGCGATAATTTTTTTGCCTAGATATGAGAGAATGGGTCTATGTGGTAAGTGCACCACATAAAAAATCCCACTCCACAGTACATAATGGGAAAAAAAGAACTGTGTATTTTTAGTTTAAAACGGTGATTTTGCAGTGCTGTTTCGTATAGTTTTTTTATGGTTGTATTCTTGATTTCTTAGTGTCATTTGATAGAATGGAGAATATGTTACAGAAATAAAGATTATTTTAATCAGTAGTTAGAAATTGAGCTCAAAGTAGCAAAAATGTTCAATTTATGCCTATATTCCAGAGTATACAAATTATGTATGTCACTTGTCCAACATGCATCCAACTGGTTGGTTTAGTATACATTCAGGAATGCTGCATAACAGTAAATCATCTATTTTTTGTGTGAATAAAAACTCAAAATGGAAAGCAAGCATAATACAGGAGAGGCGTGGGGTCATAACTAATGAACAGAGGAAATGTTTTTTAGTGCCAGGAATGTGCACATTGTTTATGCTGGACCCTATTTATAAATTGGTAGTTTTTTTAATTTTGTGTGCAACTGGCCAAATTACCAATTTCGGATTACTTTATCAGGTAGTTGAAATAGGTAAATGGGCATTTTTTTGTAATCAATTGATAGAATGGAATACTAGCAAAATAGCTATGAGTTTGGTTGACTGCAAAAGTATAATTGGCCTAAAATGGTTCTCAAAGTGGATGAATTCGCTGATCCATAAATATCATCGAGACCGCTAACTTTGTGTGAGCATGATTCCCCAAGTTTTTCATCATATTTCGTACTTTTGGTTTCATTGCCTTCGGAAAAACATTCTCCATAATTTCATAAGAAAAAACTTTTTTTTTTTTTAAAGTCCTCGACCCTGATAGCAATTCACAAATCAGGGGATCTGGCCCTAAAAGGGTTAAAGGTTTTATTCCAGCAGGTCTCAATTTATTTTTTTACATGCATTTTTTGGATGACATATTATATAGTTAGTGGTAATAAAATAATGTGGTTAATAAAAAAATATAATATATGCAACCTCCAAAGTATACATCACAGGAGTTTTAATTTTTGTTCAATATTTATATTACTGTATATTAGCTTTCTCTCTCTCTTCCTTGCAAATGTCTTAAACATAATATATTACAACAACAATCAACTACAATTACATTATCATATTTACATTTTTTCTCCATGGGGAAGTGGAACAGAATTCTTCCTCCGTAAGCCTTGTGTCATACGAGGTGACTAAAATGCCGGGAGCAAGGGGCTAGTAACCCCTTCTGTATAAATTACCAAATTTAAAAAGAGAAACTTTCGTTTTTCTTTTTTGGGCCACCCTGCCTTGGTGGGATATGGCTGGTTTGTTGAAAGATGATGATGATTTATATTTATACAATTTGGAGGAAAAAAAAAAATACATAGTTGTTTGCCCCTTTTTTGGGGAGTCCAACTGTATTTTTTCCCATACGTTCTTCAATTTTTTGATGATTTCTATCTTAGACATCATCCTAATCAATGGTCAGCTATATGTATACACACACACACTAGGTGAGTACACACAAGTGCATGCACACGTGCACACACACACACACACACACACACACACACACACACACACACTGACTACAATGCACCTTGCAAAAACATCTATCTTTGTAGTTTAAACACTTGAACAATTATGGTTAATAAAAGTTTAATATATTTAGAAAGACATTTAAAATCTGAAGAATGTTGTTTCCTTAGAAAGGGAACACATTTTCCTGAAAGTTATGCAATGCTGATTATTGCAGTCAAGAGCAAAGATAGATATTATTAAAGATTAGTTCTTGGATACATGTTTGCTTTCCGAGTTATGTGCTGTTGGATATTGGCCAGGGCTCTCTTGACTGTCTGTTCGGTCACCCTTTCACTGTCACTCCCACTTTCATCTGCATCAAACTCTTGCAGACAACTGCGGGGAACTGTAAAAGAAATTTTATTAGGAAGAATGTAGGAAATTTACTCTTATCTATGACGTAGAAGTAGATGATCTTAAGTGCGATTACAACGAATACTGTATTGCGGTTAGTATTAAAAACAATGTACAAACAAGTCTAGGCTTGTTGCTTAAGATGTCCACTATGTGGTAAATTTGTAATTTAAACTCTTATAATAAAAAGTTAATTGGTAGGTTAGCTATAGCAATATGTACCATATCTGTATAAGTGGTCAAGCAAACAGTACCCAACATGGAACACAGGAAGAACAAATAGGCACAATACCATGACTGGAACAATACACAAATAATCCGCACATAGGAGAGAGAAGCTTATGACGATATTTGGGTTTGACTTGGACTATTTACAAAGTCACTTTGTAAATGGTCCAAGTCAGACTGAAATGTCATTGCAAGCTTTTCTGTCCTACGTGCGGGTTATTTGTGAATGGAACACAAGTACGTAACCAGTTTGACTAGAATTTTACAAATCTCCAAGCAGAGTATGACATACTAGTTGGAAATTCCATATCCAAATGAGCCACAGGGATATCAAAACAGGGATTTCTGTAACATAAGAGTGGCAAAGAAGTGGAAAGAGCTTAGCAATAGCACACTGAGAGTGGACTACATACAGTATTCAAATTCAAATCTTAATTCATAAAAACATCACATGCATGGTGAATGTAATAAAATAAAAATTTAAAAGTAATACTGCAGCAGTTAGGAACACCCTATCCAAGAAATTAAATAATTTGCTTATTTAATCACACAGGATTTTTTTAAAAGTTGATTTAAATTTATTTAACAATTTCCTGGGTATTTTCTTTTACTTCACCTTGTAAGTTGTTCCTATTTCTCACCCTCTTATTTGCATAGAATTTCTAGAGATTCAAACAAATACAAGAAATACCAAGGTGTGATGCCTGTGTGTTCCGTTACAGTACCTTAGTACAAGTCTTTTATGGTGTGGTAACTGTAGGGAAGAACCTGAAGACAGACATGTAGCAGAACAACTTTATTAGGACAATAGACTTGTTCTGCTACATGTGTCTGTCTTACTCCTTATCAGGACACCTTTCAACTATTAACCCTTTGACTGTTTTGGTCATATATATATACGTCTTACGAGCCACTGTTTTTGACATATATATATACTCATAAATTCTAGCGGCTTCAAATCAAACAGGAGAAAGCTGGTGGGCCCACATGTGAGAGAATGGGTCTGTGTTGTCAGTGTGCACCATATAAAAAAAAAAATCCTGCAGCGCACGGTGCATGAGAAAAAAAACTCCGACCATTTTTTTTAATTAAAATGCCGACTTTGTGGTCTATTTTTGTATAGTATTTATGGTTGTATTCTCGTTTTCTTGGTCTCACTTGATAGAATGGAAAACACATAGAAATAGAGGTGATTTTGATTGGTTTTACTATGAAATGAACCTTGAAATGGAGCTCAAAGTAGGGGAAATGTTTGATTTTTGCTGATGTTCAATAAAGAAATGATGTCATTTTCCAATAAATGTCCAAGTAGCCATTCTAATATGCAGTCATGAATGGGTTGACATTATTTATACAATTATTACAATATTGCAGTAGTCTGCATAACAGTAAATCTATTTTTTGTTTGAATAAAAATTCAAAATAGAAAGCAAGAGTAATATCAGAGGGGCCCGGAGATGTGACTGATGAACAAAGAAAATGTTATTTTAGAGCCAGGAATGTCTGCATTGTTCATTCTGGTCCTTATTTTGAAATTGTCATATTTTTTTAATTTTCGTGAAATTGGCCAAATTGCAAATTTCTGATCATGTTATTAGGTAGTTGAAATCGGTAAATGAGGGGGGGGGGGTTGCAACACCAGGAGACACCTCAGGATTTAGGGTTGTGACAGTCAAGGGGTTAAAAGATCTATTAGTGAAATGTAACTTGCTGATATAGTTTTAAGACTCAGAATACTGTATCATTCTATATTATACCGTTATCAACAGTATTTTTTAAACAATACTGTGTCAATGTTTATTATACTATTACTAACAGCACCTTTTAAAACACATGAGTTGTCTCACAACAAGGTAGGGAAACACAAAGTAAGAAAACACATTCACCATCACTCGCTTTCTAACAGAAGTGTACAGCTACTATGATCCAAATGATGATGTCTTGTACTGCTATAGGACACTGTATGTAGATAAACAGTATCAAGGAAAACAGCCATCACTACAGGAAAACTTCCAGAAGCCACAGTACAACCCTCCATGAGTCATGCCCTTTCTATAATGCATGTATCCTTAGCAACACCCTCCAGTTTTTTTACCGAGGGGAGGTAGATGATGCTGACCCCTCTCTCTCTTCTCCCTATCACTAATTTATTCTGTTTCTCAATTTAGTCTTTTTTTTTTTTTCAACAAGTCGGCCGTCTCCCACCGAGGCAGGGTGACCCAAAAAAGAAAGAAAATCCCCAAAAAGAAAATACTTTCATCATCATTCAACACTTTCACCACACTCACACATTATCACTGCTTTTGCAGAGGTGCTCAGAATACAACAGTTTAGAAGCATATAACCCCTCAAGGAAGGTTCCTTGATGTTGGTGAGGGGCTCTTGATTTAGGGAATTGGATCTGTGCTCCAGTTCCCCAAATTAAGCCTGAATGCCTTCCACATCCCCCCCCCCGGCGCTGTATAATCCTCCGGGTTTAGCGCTTCCCCCTTGATTATAATAATAATAATAGAAGCATATACGTATAAAGATACACAACATATCCCTCCAAACTGCCAATATCCCAAACCCCTCCTTTAAAGTGTAGGCATTGTACTTCCCATTTCCAGGACTCAAGTCCGACTATATGAAAATAACCGGTTTCCCTGAATCCCTTCACTAAATATTACCCTGCTCACACTCCAACAGATCGTCAGGTCCCAAGTACCATTCGTCTCCATTCACTCCTATCTAACACTGCTCACGCACGCTTGCTGGAAGTCCAAGCCCCTTGCCCACAAAACCTCCTTTACCCCCTCTCTCCAACCCTTTTGAGGACGACCCCTACCCCGCCTTCCTTCCCCTATAGATTTATATGCTTTCCATGTCATTCTACTTTGATCCATTCTCTCTAAATGACCAAACCACCTCAACAACCCCTCTTCTGCCCTCTGACTAATACTCTTATTAACTCCACAACCTTTTCCTAATTTCCACACTCCGAATTTTCTGCATAATATTTACCCCACACATTGCCCTTAGACAGGACATCTCCACTGCTCCAACCGTCTCCTCGCTGCTGCATTTACCACCCAAGCTTCACATCCATATAAGAGTGTTGGTACTACTATACTTTCATACATTACCTTCTTTGCCTCCATAGATAACGTTTTTTGACTCCACATATACCTCAACGCACCACTCACCTTTTTTCCCTCATCAATTCTATGATTAACCTCATCCTTCATAAATCCATCCGCTGACACGTCAACTCCCCAAGTATCTGAAAACATTCACTTCTTCCATACTCCTCCTCCCCAATTTGATATCCAATTTTTCTTTATCTAAATCATTTGATACCCTCATCACCTTACTCTTTTTCATGTTCACTTTCAACTTTCTACCTTTACACACATTCCCAAACTCATCCACTAACCTTTGCAATTTTTCTTTAGAATCTCCCATAAGCACAGTATCATCAGCAAAAAGTAACTGTGTCACTTCCCATTTTGAATTTGATTCCCCAAAATTTAATCCCACCCCTCTCCCGAACACCCTAGCATTTACTTCCTTTACAACCCCATCTATAAATATATTAAACAACCATGGTGACATTACACATCCCTGTCTAAGACCTACTTTTACTGGGAAGTAGTCTCCCTCTCTTCTACACACCCTAACCTGAGCCTCACTATCCTCATAAAAACTCTTTACAGCATTTAATAACTTACCACCTATTCCATATACTTGCAACATCTGCCACATTGCTCCTCTATCCACTCTATCATATGCCTTTTCTAAATCCATAAATGCAATAAAAACTTCCCTACCTTTATCTAAATACTGTTCACATATATGCTTCAATGTAAACACTTGATCTACACATCCCCTACCCACTCTGAAACCTCCTTGCTCATCCGCAATCCTACATTCTGTCTTACCTCTAATTCTTTCAATTATAACCCTACCGTACACTTTTCCTGGTATACTCAGTAAACTTATTCCTCTATAATTTATAAAGATACCTAACTTAATTCTATCTGACCTAACTCACTCTCTTAATCAGTTTTAATTCACTGCTTCCCTCCCATCAACCATGTGTTCCACTGCTTCAAGTAATTAACACACCTCTCAAGCAGGGATCTATCTTAATAAAGTACAGTATTTCTAATGTCTGTTAAAGCTAAAACAGTATACAGAATATTACTGTCCTAGAATGCCTATGATTATATCATTAGTGCTTCTGTAAAAATAGGGGTTCCCCTAAAGCAAAAAAAAAATTAAAGATCAATTTCTCAGGAAAATATTCTGGTTGCTAAACCCCTCAAGGAAGGTTCCTTGATGTTGGTGAGGGGCTCTTGATTTAGGGAATTGGATCTGTGCTCCAGTTCCCCAAATTAAGCCTGAATGCCTTCCACATCCCCCCCCCAGGCGCTGTATAATCCTCCGGGTTTAGCGCTTCCCCCTTGATTGTAATAATAATAATCTGGTTGCTAACCAGGGAATTAATGTACAGGAGATGTCTGAGGAAAGGTTAGCAGAGCATGAATGATGTATGAAGAGGTGTAGAATTGAGTATTTAACAACCCTAAGTGAATAATTTAGACGAGAGTGAGTAGAGATGAAAGGTCTTTCAGATTTGCCATGTTGATGAAGTGTGAGCAGAGAACAGTAATATCTGTCAAGGGATTCAAGAAATCTGATTAGCTTGACTCAAGTTTTGGAGGAGAGGCATACACTTTGCAAATCATTAGGGGATGTTGCAGTTCAGTGGGTCATCACTGAATCATATCATTTATGCTAATCTGGAAAGACAGCTACTATAGGAAGCAAGTGATGCTGATTATTACTTCTTTAAGCACAAAACAGCTGTTAAGAAAACTAATAAAGTGGAAAACTTACCTGTGACTAGCTGTTGCTCCTTTGATGTCATATTCTTCAAGTGACTTAACTCCTGCTGAATAATTAATGCTCTGTGATGGCTTGTGCTCTGAAGAAAACCCATATGTAATGTGTAGAACTACAATGGTACTGATTAATTTTTTCTTTATATTTCACTTATATTTTTAAATAATGAAATTCATTTCCCACCAAGGCAGGGTGACCCAAAAAAGAAGAAACACTTTCATCATCATTCACTCCAGCACTTTCTTGCCAGAAATGCACCTACACTAGTTAAAAAACTGCAACATAACACCCTTCCTATAGAGCATAGGCACTGTACTTCCCACCTCCAGTACTCAAGTCTGGCTTGCTCATTTCCTTGAATCCCTTCATAAATATTACTTTGCTCACACTCCAATAGAATGCTAAATCAATTCATAAAAACCATTTGTCTCCACCTGCTCCTATATAACATGCTCATGCATACTTTCTGGAAGTCCAAGCCCCTCACCCACAAAACCTCCTTTACTCCCTCCCTCCAACATTTTCTAGGACAACCCCTAGCCCACCTTCCTTCCACTACAGACTTATACACCTTCCAAGTCATTCTATTTTATTTTATCCTCTCTAAATGTCTGAACCACCTCAACCCCTCCTCAGCTCTCTGGATAATACTTTTAAAAACCCCGCACCTCCGTCTAATCTCCAAGCTATGGATTCTCTGCATTATATTCACACTATACATTGCCCTCAGACAAGACATCTTTACTGCTTCCAGCCTTCTCCTTGTTGCAACATTCACCACCTGTGCTTCACACCCAAATAAGAACGTTGGTACCACTATACTTGCATACATTCCCCTCTTTGCTTCCACGGATAATGTTCTCTGTCTCCACAGACTCCTCAGTGCACCACTCGCCTTTTCCCCCTCATCAATTCTGTGATGCACCTCGTCTTTCATAGACCCATCTGTTGACTAAGTCCACTGTCAAATATTTGGATACATTCGCTTCCTTCATACTCCCTCCCTCCAATCTGATATCCAATCTTTTATAACCTAAATTTTTTGTTATCCTCATCACCTTGCTCTTTCCTATGTTCACTTAATATCCTTCTTTTGCACACCCCTCCAAGCTCATCCACCAACCTCTGCAACTTCTCTTCAGAATCTCCCAAAAGCACAGTGTCATCACTAACAGCAACTGTGACAACAACCACTTTGCATTAGATTTTCATCTCTTAGTCCCACAACTTTTCCCAACTCCCGAGAATTCACTTCTCTTACAACCCCATCTATAAATATATTGAACAACCACAGTGGCATCAAAAAATAAACATAGATTGAGAATAAAAACTGTACATATAACTGTCAAATATAAAAAGTGTTAGTTTAAGTGTGCAAGCAAAGAACTTGAAATTAATAGAATTATAACAGTTATAAACAAAACACTTTTTTCAAGTCATTCATTGCTGGGGATATTTATTTATGTTGCAATACAAGACCTTACTTGATGTTATTAGATATGCTGACATCTGAATTGTGATATCTGCACACTTCTTGCAAGACAGCTGTTAAATAATGGCAGATGTGTTTCCTTCTTTGGGTTACCCAACCTTAATGCAAAGTACCATGCAAGTGGCAAACTAAAAAAAAAAAAAAAAAAAAAAAAAAAAAGGCTCAATAGCAGTATAGTACTTTAAAAATATATATCTCAAGAGGGCCTTGTAATGTTTGTTACCAATTATTGTAAACCTAGTCTCTTACATGTACTTTCTTGATATACTGTAGTATTTTAAGTGATAACACATTAATTTCCAAATCAATTTTCTGCTTTGGTTGAATTTTTAAAATGTGGAACTACACAATTCTAAGAAAAATTACTGTACAGTATTTCAAAATTAGATAATGGTCCTGAAAAAAACTTACTTTTGATCCACATGGAATGAAAGGAATTAAATTTTCTTTCTCTTCTTTTTTTGGAGGGCCTGATAGTTCACCTCGCAATCTTGATGTTAATGTAGACTGTGCATACCTTTGGTCTGCCACAGGTATGGTTGTTTTACACCTAGGAGAAACCCTCTTCTGGCTGCTCTTGTGTGACTGCCTGGAACTCTGAGGAGGTTTTAATCTCAATTTATGCTTCCTCCTCTGTGAAGAGTCATCAGAAGAACTCTCACTCAATCTTTCTCTGTTTCTGCTGACTTTTTTCTTTGAGAACTTACTACCTGCAGGTTTAGAAGTATTTGCTCTCTGCTGGTTGTGTAGGGCTCGTATATCAGAGTTATAATGTATACTGTCACAAGGATTTTCTCTGTAATCTCTGAAACTGCCAAAAGAAATGTTTTCTTGAAATCTGGAATAAGCTTGAGGAATGTCATGACTGGATGGCACACTGATGCAAGGCTGCTGTTGGGATTCTCTGGCATGTTTTGATTCTTGATAAGCTATAGTGGGTTTTGGTTTCTTCTTTGCTCTTCCCATTTTATCTCCTCTAAGATGCCCTTGATGACTTTTGGATATCTATTAAAAAACGTCTAATGAAATTTATGTTGATTTTTTGTCAGCTTACCCATTTACCCTCTTTGAATCCTAAGGTGTATATTCAATAACATGCAAGCAAATATTATTAATGCATTTTGTTTGTTGATAAATATGGTAAAATATTTAGTGAAGCAGCAGCCACCAGCAACTAGCATTCATTAAGATACATTAGGCACGGACATAATGAGTTTACAATTAAGTAGAGCTTATGTGGAAAAGCTGAAATAGAGATAATTGCAACAATAAAGGAAGTGAAATGAGTGGGAATAACTACTGCATACAGTACTGCATAGTCATATAAATAGTGTACATAAAAGAATATGACTTAAGAAAAAGGTACAGTCAAAAATAAAATTCAGAGGTAAAATTTTTATGTCCTGTGAAACTGGAATCCATAAACAGTATAAATTATGTCCACAAAATAAATTTTATTTCAGATTTGGACTCATTTTGTGTTTTAGAGGAAATATCTCTCTAAATATGGCTTTAATCTGGTTAACACTGACATTAATATAAAAAACTACCATAAAATATGAGACTTAGGTGTGGGTTTCAGTTTAGGGGGTTGCATACCAAGTATGTCCAAAAATCAGACACCTCAAAACCACTCAAGAAAAACTGAATCAATCTGCAGGTTACACATGGGCAAAAATATTGGATAATTAAATTCTGTGAATTAGGAATCACACAATCTGAGGGACCAACTGTACTGACAAACTTCTAAATAACATTTAGATACAAAAATAGTCATATAATACCATATACTGGAACATTTAGATTATAAAGCTGCAGTATTTTGTCCATACCTAACAAAAATATGTACAGAATAAATTAAGTAGAAAAAGTCCAAGGATGTGCTACACAATAGCCTAGAGTTAAGAAATATGAAATACAAAGGAAGCAAAATATTGATAACACCTGAGAAAATAAATAGGAAAGATTTTTATTTGAACCATCAAACTATGGTATGAGAGCAAGAAGCTACTGTTGTAATGTAAGATAAAACTAATGCTAATAGGTCACTAGAGAATACTTCTTCAGAAATCCCTATCACAAGGAGGGAGCACAGGAATGACATATGGTGAGGCCATTCCCCAAACACAGTTTCATAAACATTAGCAAATCAAGATACTGTGTATCAATACCAGCTGTATTATAGTGTTTGAAATCTTATTTTATATTTAAATACTGTATGTTTAACTATAAAGCCATGAAAAAATATAACAACAAAGTGTGAATACAATGAAGGAAGGCATGATGCCATCTGCAAAAAAAAAAAAAAAAAAAAAAAAAAAGTTTGCGAACTTACAATTGCAAGAGCATTTGGCCTGCGGTTAATTAAGACACTTGTCTCCTTTTGTTTCTGACGAGGTTCTGAAAGACAGAAAATGAACTGTTTAGTTTCATCATCACAATAAAAGTACATGTTGGAAAGAACTTTATTACTTACCTAAACTTTGTTTAAGAGCTCCATGAGATTTATCAGTACCTGAATCTGTAGCTGTATGTGGAAAGGACAATGGGGCCAGACAAGATTGTTTCTTTGTAACATAGGCTAATACCGAGCAAACCAGAGTATGAGTATTAATAAAATCTAAATATAGCCTCTCCTCACTTAAAGATGGAGTTCCGTTCTTAAGACCACATCATTCAATGAATTTGTTGCTAAGTGAGGAACATACTATAATGGTAGTGGGTTTTTGCCAACTATCTTTGATATTGTTTTAATGTCACCTTTGCACCATTTATAACAATTCTGTATTTTTAAATGTTTATACAGTAGTGTAATATACAGTGGACCCCCACCTTACGATATTAATCCATTCCTGAGAGATCAGCGTAAGCCGAAATTACTGTTAGCCGAATTAATTTTCCCCATAAGAAATAATGGAAATGAAATTAATCCATTCGACACCCCAAAGTACGAAAAATTTTTTTTTACCTCATGAAATATTGATTTTAATACACACAAAATGAAGACATGCACAATTACTACTCTACTAAGAATAGAATACATGACACTTACCTTGCTAAACTCACAAACTAGTACACCTACCATCCGACTTACGACCGAGTTCGGTTCCGAGAAACCAGTCGTAAGTCGAACTTTACTACTGAATATCAACAAAACATTTTTGTAATGACTTTATTTTATTGTTTTATTTTGGTATTTCATGTTTTACTTTACTTTTTATGTTGTTAGTACTGTATTTTATACTGTAAGGTTTAGGATAAACACTGTGTACAACACAAATAGTTGTTTATTTCCCAGAAATTTGGCATAAAAAACAGAGTAAGGTCGAGTGGTCGTAAGTCGAGAAGTCGAGCAGGTCGTAAGTCGGATGGTAGGTGTATTTAGTTACTTAGCCATAATACCAACTTACCTCATAATTTGTAATATTTTAAAGTTAAGAATTAATCTAAGTCTGCCCGAAATGCCTAGCCATACTAGGTGTTCTAGTGGCTCCCTCTATAATTAGTGTTTTAAAACATGTAAACCACACAATATCCAAATTCTGTAAACTCAGCATTGTAATCCTTATAGAGAATAAACTTGATTTGATTTGATTTGATTGAAGATCTGGTGATGATTGATGGGATGGGAGGAGGGGAGAGTGTGGAAGTTATTGTTTAGAAGGGGAATCCCCTTCCATTAGGACTTGAGGTAGCCAGTCCTTTTCTGGGGTTACTTCCCTTCTTCTTTTAATGCCACTAGGACCAGCTTGAGAGTCACTGGACCTCTGTCGCACAACAAATCTGTCCATAGAGCTCTGTACCTCCCGTTCCTTTAAGACTTTCCTAAAATGGGCCATAACATTGTCATTGTACAGGTTGCCAACACGGCTTGCAGTAGCTGTGTCAGGGTGATTTTCATCTGTAAAGGTTTGCAGTTCAATACACAAATAACCCGCACATAAAAGAGAGAAGCTTACGACGACGTTTCGGTCCGACTTGGACCATTGACAAAGTCACACCGGGTCCAAGTCGGACCGAAACGTCGTCGTAAGCTTCTCTCTTTTATGTGCGGGTTATTTGTGTATCGTTCCAGTCACGGTATTGTGCCTTTTTGTTATTTATTTGCAGTTCAACCCACTTTGCACACATTTCCTTAATCTTTGAAGTAGGCGACTTCCTCAATTTCTCTCTCCCCTCCTCTGAAGCAGTTTCCTCAGGTCTGGCCTTTTCCTCCTGAGTAATGTAGGTCCTGCTTGGCATTTTCTTCCAAAACAGGCTTGTTTCGTCGCAGTTAAACACTTGTTCAGGTTTCAATTCTTCACTGTCTATGTACTCCTTGAATTCCTTCACATATTTTTCAGCCGCTTTTTGGTCCGAACTGGCAGCCTCACCATCCTTATTGCACTATGTATGCCATTACGATTCTTAAATCTCTCAAACCAACCTTTGCTGGCCTTAAATTCACTCACATCACCACTAGTTGCAGGCATTTTTCTAATTAAATCATCATGCAACTTCCTAGCCTTTTCACATATGATCACTTGAGAGATGGTATCTCCTGCTATCTGTTTTTCGTTTATCCACACCAATAACAGTCTCTCAACATCTTCTATCACTTGCGATCTCTGTTTCAAAAACAAGCTTCCACCTTTTGCCAGAACAGCTTCCTTGATTGCCGTTCTCTTGGCCAAGATAGTAGCGATGGTTTATTGGGGTTTGGTATACAACCTGGCCAGCTCCGAGACACGCATTCCACTTTCGTACTTAGCAATTACAGTGGACCCCCGCATAACGATGGCATCACATAGCGATTTTTCCGCATACCGATTACTTTTATCGCAAAATTTTTGCCGCGCATACCGATTAAAAACCCGCTTACCGATTTTCGTCCGAGACGCGTCCAATGTGCCCTCAGCCAGCCTCACATGTGCCGGCCGTCCCATTGTTTACCAGCCAGCCTCCGCGGTAACATCCAAGCATCCCCTCGGAATATTTCGTATTATTACAGTATTTTTGGTGCTGTTTCTGGAAAATAAGTGACCATGGCCCCAAGAAAGCTTTAGTGCCAACCCTACACCTCAAAGGGTAAGAATTACTATAGAAATGAAGAAAGAGATAATTTAATAAGTATGAAAGTGGAGTGCGTATAGCCGACCTAGCAGCTGTACAAGAAACCCAATCAACCATCGCTACTATTGTGGGCACCAGAAAGACAATCAAGGAAGCTGTTCTTGCCAAAGGGTTTAACTGTGTTTTCGAAACAAAGATCGCAAGTGATGGAAGATGTTGAGAGACTCTTATTGGTGTGGATAAATGAAAACAGCTAGCAGGAGATAGCATCTCTCAAGCGATCATATGTGAAAAGGTAGGAAGTTGCATGAGGATTTAATTAAAAAAATGCCTGCAACTGTGATGATGTGAGTGAAATTTAAGGCCAGCAAAGGTTGGTTTTTAGAGATTTTAAAAAGCGTAGTGGCATCCATATGTGATAAGGCATGGTTTAGGCTGCCAGTTCGGAACAAAGCGGGTGAAAAAATTTTGCAGGAATTCAAGGGGTACATAGAAATGAAGGACTGAAACCTGAACAAGTGTTTAATTGTGATGAACAGGCCTGTTTTTGGAAGAAAATTTCCAAGCAGGACCTACATTACTCAGGAGGGAAAAGGCACTCCCAGGACATAAGCCTATGAAAGACAGGCTTATTTTGTTGAGTGTGCCAAAGCTACCCGGTGATTGCAAAGTGAAGCCTTTATTAGTGTATCACTCTGAAACTCCCAGAGCGTTCAGGCAAAAGAATGTCCTCAAAGGGTAATTTGTGTTGCTGTGGAGGGCAAACAGTAAGGCATGGGTCACTAGGGAATTTTTTTATAACTGGTTACACCATGATTTGCCCCCAATGTGAAAATTACCTAACTGAAAGAAATTAGAACTTAAGTGCCTCCTGGTGTTAGACAATGCCCCTGGTCATCCTACAGACGTGGCAGAGCGACTTTATGGGGGACATGAGCTTCATTAAAGGGGAAGTTTTTGCCCTAATACCACCTCTCCTGCAGCCCATGGACCAGCAGGTTATTGCAAACTTCAAGAAACTGTACACAAAAGCTCTGTTTGAAAGGTGCTTTGTAATGACCTCAGAAAATCAATGACTCTAAGAGAGTTTTGGAAGATCACTTTTAAAATCCTCAATTGTGTAAACCTTATAGGTAAGGCTTGGGAGGAAGTGACTAAGAGGACCTTGAACTCTGCTTGGAAGAAACTGTGGCCAGAATGTGTAGACAAAAGGGATTTTGAAGGGTTTGAGGCAACCCTGAGAATCCTGTGCCAGTTGAGGAATCCATTGTGGCATTGGGAAAGTCCTTGGGTTGGAGGTTAGTGGGAGGATGTGGAAGAGTTGGTGGAGGAGGACAATGAAGACTAACCACTGATGGCTGATAGATCAACTTCAAGAGCAAAGGCCAGACCTGGGGAAATGGTTCGAGGAGGGGAGAGAGAAATTGAAGAAGTTTCCTACTACAAAGATAAAGGAAATCTGTGCTAAGTGGCTTGAAGTGCAAACCTTCATGGATGAAAAAACACCTCACACAGCTATTTCAAGCCGTGCTGGTGATTTTTTACACTGACAATGTTGTAAACACTTTAGGCAAGTCATAAAGGAACGAGAGGTACAGGCCACTATGGACAGATATCTTGTGCGAAAGAAGTCCGTGACTCTGAAGCTGGGCCCCAGTGGCATTAAAAAAAGAAGGGGAAATAACCCCAGAAAAGGACTTACTACCTCAAGTCCTAATGGAAGGGATTCCCCCTTCTAAACAGTAAGAAGATAATGCTCTCCCTCCTCCCATCCCATCAAACATCACCAGATCTTCAATAAAAGTAAGTGTCATTTAATTGTGGGATGCCTTTTTCAGTTTGGTGTATTAAAATTAACATTTCATGTGGTAAAAAAATTTTTTTTCTACTTTTGGGCGTCTTTCCGGATTAATTTTATTTCCATTATTTCTTATGGGGAAAATTCATTCGCATAACGATTATTTCGCATAACAATTATCCCTCTTGCACGGATTAAAATCGTTAACCGGGGGTCCACTGTATCTCTTTCTTCATTTCCATAGTAATTTTCACCCTTTTTACCACAGGGTTGGCACTAGAAGCTTTCTTGGGGCCCATGGTGACTTATTTTGCAGTTACAAGCACTAAAAACACTGTGATAATATGAAATGTACCGAATGTATGCTTAGATGCAACCACACTGGCTGGTTTGTAAACACTGGCACCCACGGGGCAGCTGAGGCCACACGTGGGATGTGTCCTGGACGAATCACGTAAGGCGAGGCAAAATTTTTGCATTCAAATGCTTCGTATGGCGGATTTAACGTAACGCGATGCATTCGTAAGGCAGGGGTCCACTGTATACTGAAATAAACAGAATAGAGAAAATCAGCTCTAATATACATTATTTGGATACAAATACTGGTCAGAGAGCCCATCATAAGTCCGAGGCGTCAGTAAACGAGTACATCGCTAAGTGAGGAAAGGCTGTACTGTATTTTGTTGGAGACAAGAGAAAACTGCAATAATACATAGATAACCTATAAGAATTTTGTAACAAATGTCTGCTCAAATTCGTCCCTAATAAATGCAAGGTGATGAGTCAGGGTAAAGAAAAAAGACCAATAGTACTGTTCTGACAGAAACAGCAGTTGCTTCTGCTTCTTTTTCTTCCTCTTCCATCACAGCCGCAGCCACCGCTGTTGCTGCTGCTGTTAATGTTGCTACTGCTGCTGCAAATACTGCTAATAATGTCCAACTAAACATTATGATTAACAATCCTCTTATTGCTAAACATAATAAGGGAAAATTTCTGGGTCTGCACCCTGACAGCAACTTGAAATTCAACACCCACTTTCAATACATTAGAAAAGTGTCCAAAACAGTTGGCATCCTCCCTAAGATATGTTATTAAGTGCCACAAACTCTTCAAAGGCCTAAATCTATTTATTATACAAAACATTGAATCTTACTACTGTACATCCTACATACACAAAACAATAAATTCTAATATTAATCCAGACCTGAAGCACTACCTTGACAGCTGCAACAGAACCCATAGATATAATACTACACACAAAAATCTCTATGACATACCCCGTGTCCGGCTTAATCTTTGTAAAAACTCAATGTGCATAAAAGTACCCAAAATCTGGAACTCCCTTCCAGATATCTCCAGAGCCTCTTTTTCTGCCAGCATCTTCAAAACTACTGTAAAAAACCTGCTTTCACTAATATATCCCAACAACAATTAAATATGTTGCAGTTTAAAAACTGTAGTGTAAAGCACCCTTCTGGCAAGACAGTGATGGAGTGAATGATGGTGAAAGTTTTTCTTTTTCGGGCCACCCTGCCTTGGTGAGAATCGGCCAGTGTGATAATAAATAATTTTCATATTATCATTGCCACAAGCATATGAAAAACAATATATTCTTATTCTCATTATCTGTAAGCCTCACAACCACTAAATATGTTGAATATATTCAAAATATGCTCACATGCTGGAATCCTCATTACCTGTAATTATACGCCCATGATTAATCCTTAAAACCATTAAATTCAATAAATGCGTTCATTGTAATTTCTAAATTTATTGTTAAAACCACTTAGAGACTGTATATACAAGTAATCAATTATTTATTGCCTTATTATTGCTTAAGTTTGTCTGAAATGCTCTCCATATTACGGGGCTTTCTGTAAGCCACCCATCTCTGTACATTATTATAATTATTATAATCATGGGGAAGTGCTAAACCCATAGGATTATACAGCCCATCTCTGTACAAACATTGTATCATGCTGAAATAAAGAATCTTTAATAGTGTTAATGCTGCTAATTATTATTATACATATTTAACCCTTTGAGGGTCGACAGGCCCTCTCCGAAACTCGTTCTCAGGGTCGGCCAAATTTAAAAAAAAAAAAAAAAAATATTATTTTCTCTTATGAAAAGATAGAGAATCTTTTCCCGATCATAAAGACACCAAAAGTTTGAAATTTGATAAAAAACTTACGGAATTATGCTCTCGCAAAGTTAGCGGTCTCGGCGATGTTTACGCATCGGCAATTTTGCCCACTTTGAGCCCCATTTTCAGCCAATTTCACTGTACTAGTCGACAAAAAACATGAATATTTCGCTAGAACTCCATTTTTTCTATCGAATGGGTGCAAGAAACCACCCATTTATGAAATTCAAGTATCCAGTACAGTGGTCAGAATTTAGCAATTTTGCCAATTTCACACAAATTTCAAAAGATGCCAATTTCCGAATAGGGTCCAGAATAAACAAGAAAGACATTCCTGGCACTAAAATGACATTTCCTCTAGTCATTAGTCACGTCTCAAGGCCCCTCTTACATTCTTTTGCTTTCCACTTTGAATTTTTATTCTCACAAAAAATATAAGATTTACTGTTATGCAGACTACTGCATCAGTGTAAAAAATGGTATAAATATTATTGGTGCACTTGTGAAAGAATATTAGACTCACCAGTTGACGTGTATTGCACGCTTGGCACGATTGTTTACTTTTGAAGTTTGGTAAAAATCGAACATTTCTGCTATTTTGAGCTCAATTTCAAGGCACCTTTCATTGTAAAACCAGTCAAAATCATCTCAATTTCTGTAATATGTCTTCCATTCTATAAAATGAGACCAAGAAAACTAGAATACAACAATAAATACCATACGAAAATACACTGCAAAGTCGCTGATTTATTCCAAAAAAATGGTCAAAGTTTTTTTTTTCTCATTATGCACTGTGTGCTGCAAGATTTTTTTTAGACTGTGCACACTGACCACATAGACCCATTCTTTCATACGAAGGCCTACCAGCTTTCTCCCACTAGATTTGAGGCCGCTAGAATTTATGCGTACTAGTACGTCAAAAACCCCTACGCGTAAGACGTACTAGTACGACCAAAACCCTCAAAGGGTTAAGAGGCACTGGAAACTCGGTGGACTTAAATCCAATACAGAATGTTTGGAAGCTCATTAAGTGTCAGCTTTGTGGCATGGATGTGTCCTCTAACCCCAAAGTATCAAGTACCATTGAGTAGGTGTGGGAGGTACTGACTTTTCTATTAAATACTAGTTTAGGCAAGGAACATATATCTTTCAATATTATATAGTTAAAACAATAGGATAAGATGAGAGCAGTCTCATTTTCTGTGTGATCTGTTTATGTATATGCATATAAATGTTGCCTATTGTACATGCATAAATATACTGCAACAATAAAGCTTGAGTAAATAGGGAAAGTTGCCACCAGGATAGTTCCTGACACAAATGACTAAAGTTGTGAGAATAGACTTAAGGATTTTTTTTCCTTAAATCAGAAGGTCCTGTGTTACACATCTACTGTATATCAATAGTCTAAGACAACAAAATTTGTAATTTAAAAATGACTTGCTGTTTAAACAATTACAAACATACCTGAAAGTACACTGTTTGATGATGTCCGAATACTAGTATTTACACGAAGAGATGTATTTGTTTCAGCATTCTTCAATTCTGGTTTCTGCTGCTTCTGCTGTGCCTGCAAAACTCTTGCTTGTAAAGATGCCAGTGCATCTTCGACAATATCCAAAGCAGCAGTCATACCTGAAAATGCCACAAAATATCTTGTTTTCTGTCATCTTGCCAAATATATAAATACATATATTAAGTATACTACATATAGTATGTATATATGTATAATTTTTTTTAGCCCTGGAAGCCATTTTATAGCATTTCTTGATTTTTGTCTTGGGAATCCATTTGTTTTTTCTTAGGTAATGACACTAAACTACTGCTGTATGCTCTCTTTTGCAGATGACAAACAATAACAATGTATGGTGCCATTATATACAGTACAACAGATACATACAAATATGTACATACAAATATGAAAACAGAATGATAGAAGAATTACTGGGAGTTAAAGACTCAGATTAAAATTAGTCTTGTGGTTATTTAGCAATAACACACAAGTGATAAAAGGTCAGTAATACTGACCACAACGTTGCATAGTAGCTTGACTTACTATACAGTGGTACCTGGACTTACGAGTTTAATTTATTCTGTGACCAAGCTTGTAACTCGATTTGCTCGTATATCAAATCAATTTTCCTCATTGAAATTAACTGAAATGCCATTAATCTGTTCCAGTGGAATTCCTGGCTCTTGGGAGGCAGGAGAAAACACTAATATCAACTCAATGGCTTATTAATGTATCACAATTGATCTAATATGACATAATAAACAATATAAATAACAGAAACATGATATATACTCTAGAATGAATAAATGTGTCATTATATGACGAGTGGTGGCGACCACTCCCAAGGTAAAAATAATTATTGCTCTGACCATATCTTTCCATTCTTGCCTTTCTGAAGTCTTATTATAAGAGAAAACTGAGTGTTTATGAGGCTAACTGCACTAGATCACTAGTTTCATAAGGAAAACACTGAAACAAAAGCAATTTTATCATGTTTTTCTATGATTTCATGCTTTAATTCAATGGACATCATTCTCTTCTTCTTCTCAGCACTGTCCTTCGCACTTACTTTCTTAGGACCCATGGTTAGAAAAACAGAAATTTGGCAAAATAATTGCACGAAAAGCACAAAATACTGGGATGCTGGGCGGGTGTTGTGGCATTCGCTGTGCCAATTAGTGGCAGTGCATCTGAAGCTCACTCATAACTTGGATCTTGGCTGGCAACTCAAAGCAAAAAAATTGACCGAGCGACGGCTCGTAACTCGGAAAACTTGTAAGTTGGGGCACTCGTAAGTCAAGGTACCACTTTACTATGATTATTATTAAGAGAAAGTGCTAAACCCAAAATGGTTATAGTACCTGGGGAAAGGGAGGAAATCAGGTATGATTCAAGAAATCAGAGGACAACACTAAGTTCTAAGCACAAAAGCCCTTCACCAGCACACAGTCGCCTCCCCTTTCTTTTCACTTAAAAGCCTATGCAAAATACTGTATATATACATGTATGCTAAAAAAATATTTTCCCCGATTGTATTAATACTTATAGCATTATCACCTGGTTAAATCTTTAAACTGTAGTTTGGTATTTTATTCTTCCTCCTAGGTATTCATTTATAACATGAGAATGCCTCATCCAATCAGTGTCAAATTTCAATGCTGGTGCACTGTAACCAGAAAAAGATTTGTGAAACTACAGGCACGTGCAGGTGCCTCCTGGTCAAGTCTACCCAGACCTACTAACCTATATAGTGTATTTTGGTATAAATATGTTGGTACTGTAGATGACAGGTTAAATTTCTTGGTCTTCTCTTAGATTCTCGAATGTCATGGAACTTAAATATTGAGCCTCTGAATGCAATTAACCTGGAGGATTAATAACCCACTGGGGGTCCTTTTTAGGTCTTTTCCCAGGATGTTATGCACAACTGTAGCTAAGTTTTTATTGTCAGGTAATTGGGCAGCAGCTGTTAGACTTGGCCATTTGACTCACCTAACCCAAGACTGATCCTGGGTTCTTTTGGTTGTGAGAGAAATGCTCAACTACTGAGCTACAAGGTGTACATGTGCTGAAAAATATAGAGAAGAATGATGAAGTTAATTTCACATATCAGGAACCTTTCCTATGATGAAAGGCTGAAGGCTGAATTTACACTCTGGAAACATGTAGAATTATGAAGGATATAAATGATGTATATAAAAGTAAAACAGGAATAAATAAAGTCCTGAAAGTATCTAACCATGACAGAACTCACAGCAATGTATTCAAGTTAGACAAATTTAGATTTAGAAATGATGAGGAGAAATATTGGTTTGGTAACAGAGCTGTAGATGAGTGAAACAAACTTCCAATTAACAGCATTGGGTGAGAACATTGGGTAGTTTTGAATACAGGTTGGCTGGGTACATGAATGTGTGTGATTTAGTGCCAGTATTCCTTCAATCTTGTGAAACTATCAGTATCGCAATCAAAGCTAAGCGCTAAACCCACTAGGATCATACAGCGCTGCTTGTGAAACTAGAAAACTTGCATTTACCTTTTCTGTTTGCATACAGTGGACATTTTGCCATCTCTCTCGTGCTGGAATGTCCAGGAGCTGTGTTTCATTCCCAGCAACTACATGTAAGTGAATACCAAACACAGCAGTCCAGAAGACGGGTGTGCTGCACAAGACAGAAAACAGCAGGATGTCACAGAACTTAGCAGGACATCAGAGGACTCAGCAGGACATCAGAGGACTCAGCAGGACATCAGAGGACTCAGCAGGATATCAGAGGACTCAGCAGGACAACACAGGACTCAGCAGGATATCAGAGGACTCAGCAGGATATCAGAGGACTCAGCAGGACATCAGAGGACTCAGCAGGATATCAGAGGACAACACAGGACTCAGCAGGACATCAGAGGACTCAGCAGGACATCACAGGACTCAGCAGGACGCAACAGGACACCACAGGACATCACAGGACTCAGCAGGACGCAACAGGACACCACAGGACTCAGCAGGACGCAACAGGACACCACAGGACACCACAGGACTCAGCACAAGAGGAATGTAAACAAAGTTCAAATGAGGTGCCAAGCTCCGCCAGCTGAAATAACCGATAAAATGCCGTGCTACATAAAAAAAATTTAAATCTTGGCTTTTAAAATTATATTAGGTTATATATTGTATTATAATTATATTACATATTGTATAATTATATAATAAAGAATTGTATTATATGATAAATTATAATTTAAGTCAAGATAAATTTACAATCTCACACATTTTTATTTTCGTTTATTTTTGTAATGACTGTTTAAAGGAATGTGAATAAGTTATGTTTTGGGGATTTTGTTTTAGGTTATCATAGGTTGAATCTACTTATTGTGCGATTTCTTGTGTCCATAGCATCTGGACCAATATCCGCTTGGAATTTTTATTGACCTAAGAAAAGCTTTTGACACAGTAGACCACGGCATCCTATCAAATCAAATCAAATCAAATCAAAGTTTATTCTCTATAAGGATTACAATGCGGGGTTTACATATTTTACTTATTGTGTGGTTTACATGTAATAAAATACTAATTACAGAGGGGCCACTAGAACACCTAGCATGGCTAGGCATTTCGGGCAAACTTAGATTAATTCTGATACCAACCTCTTATTGAATGACTTAAATGATTCAAACAGTTACTGTAATTACTACACAGCAGAACAATCAAAGGCTCAGAGCTAACAACAACATAACTATCTTTAACTACGATATCAGATCTTTAAGCAAGCATTATGATGACCTCCTAGCATTACTAAATTCCTTGCATGCCAATATGTCCATCATTACACTAACTGAAACCTGGCTAAAGCCTGATACTACAGATGTCTATGCCATTCCTGGTTACACAGCCATACACAACTGTAGGCCAGACCAACAAGGGGGTGGCACTGCTATATACTACTCAGACCAACTAGAATGTATCACTAATACTTGCACAAGGGATGAACATGGGGAATATATAATAGCTAAATTCAAATCCAAATACCTACAAAAACCTCTCAGTGATAAACATACAGAGTTCCACAATCAAACATTAGCCAATTTAGTCAAAACCTAGGAAGTATGATAACTGATGCACGCATGAACAAAGATCCATTACTACTCTCAGGTGACTTCAATATAAATCTCCTGCAAGACCAGGACCCACACGTTACTGAATTCACAAACACAATGAGTAACTGCATGTTACTACCACAGTAACAAAACCTACAAGAGTTACAGAGACTAGTGTTTCCCTACTTGACCACATCTGGACCAACACCATATCCCCTTTAAAATCAGGCAAATTACAGATAATACCACAGACCACTACCCTACTTTCCTCATAACAACTCTTGGTAAAATACCCCAAGACACTACTAAAGTCACCTTCAGACTTCACAATTGAGACAGCCATTAATAACTTCACAACAGCAATAGCAAACATTGATTGCACACTGAGCTAGAAACCTATACAGATATTGACGAATGTATTAATAATTTTCTAAAAAAAACCCAATACCTCTATAACAAGCACTGCCCTAAAAAAAACTAAACAGATGACAGCAAAGAGACTGAACAGTCCCTGGCTAACACCCAGCATTCTCAAATCCATAAATACAAAACACCAATATGAAAAACAGTACAGAATGGGTCACATAACCAGAGACCAAACAAAACGTTACTCGTCAATCCTAACCAGCCTGATAAGAAGGGCAAAAAAATTGTATTATGAGACAGATTTCCAACTTACGAGGTGATATAAAAAAGACCTGGAAGACCCCTATCAGAAATTCTGGAACAAAAAAGATATCACGACATAGCAAAATAAATTAGCAAAATCAGATGAACCCAACACCCACCAACAGAAACAGCAAAACAGACTCAATGATTTCTTTTCCACTATAGGACAAAACCTTGCCAATAAAATCCCAAGCTCAGATACCCCACCAAATGACTACCTCACTGGCAACTACCCGAACACACTGTTCCTAGCTCCGACTAACCCATACAAAGTCCCTTATTATCAACGCACTGAAAAATAAGACAGGAGATTTAAATACCTTACCACCCTTTATATACAAAAAGTGTCACAAGTGCTATCACCAATCATTGCAACACTCTTTAACAAATCCACTGAATCCTCCACCTTCCCTACAGTTCTCAAAATAGCAAGGGTCACCCCGATCCATAAAGGAGGAGACCAAACAGAGTTGAATAACTATAGCCAATATCCAATTTACACCCTCTCTCAAAAATCTTCGAAAATTAATTCATAAACGAATCTACTCCTACCTCATCTCCCAAAACATACTCAACCCCTGCCAATTTGGATTCAGGCCTAATAAAAATACTAATGATGCTATTGTACACATGCTAGAACATATATACACTGCAATAGAGAAAAAAGAAGTCCCACTGGGGATCTTCATTGACTTACGTAAAGCTTTTGATACAGTTGACCATGACTTGCTCCACGTAAAATTGTCACACTATGGTATAAGAGGGCACTCCCTCAACTACCTCAAGTCATACCTCAGCAACAGAAGCCAATATGTGTACGCAAATGGGGCAAGCTCTTCCGCACAGCCAATTACAGTTGGTGTCCCACAGGGAAGTGTCCTTGGCCCTCTTCTCTTTCTCCTATACATAAATGACCTACCAAATGCTTCGCAATTACTCAAACCCACACTATTTGCAGATGACACTACATGCGTCTTCTCTCACCCGAGCCCAGTCACGCTAGCCAATACTGTAAATACCGAATTACAGAAAATATCTACCTGGATGAGGACTAACAAACTTACACTAAACATTGACAAAACCTACTTCATTCAGTTTGGTAACAGAGCTACAGATGTCCCTCTTAACATAATGATAAACGGATCACCTATCACAAAGCTAACAGAGGGAAAATTCTTAGGAATCCACCTTGATAATAGACTCAAATTTCATACACATATACAACAAATTTCTAAGAAAATTTCCAAGACTGTAGGCATACTATCGAAGATACGGTACTATGTTCCACAGTCAGCCCTCCTGGCCCTATATCACTCTCTTATTTACCCCTATCTCACCTATGGAATTTGTGCATGGGGCTCAACAACAATTAACCATCTCAGACCACTAATTACCCAACAAAAGGCTGCAGTTAGAATGATAACAAATTCTCACTACAGGCAACACACTCCACCATATTCAAAACACTCAACCTACTCACCATACAAAACATCCATACTTATTATTGCACCTATTACATACATAGAACACTTAACTCTGATATTAACCCTCCCCTCAAACATCTCCTTGCCAACCTCAACAGAACACATGACCATAACACAAGGCACAGATCACTCTTTGATGTTCCTCGTGTCCATCTCACGCTATGCAAAAACTCAATGCACATAAAAGGCCCTAAAATCTGGAATTCATTACCTGTAAATATAAAAGAAACACTACCTGTTTATAAATTCAAGTCTCTTCTCAAAGATCACTTACTCACCCAAAACCAAATAAATACTGAATAACCGAACCTTATAAATTGTATATCTTAAATGTTTCTCACAATTATATCACATAAATGCTGAACCTAAAACCCAATCTAACAGAATACTCCATTCGACTGAATGTACAACAATGCATGCAACCATATGACCTGTCTTTGTAATACTCATTTGTGCTTTATAGTTATCTGTTTACAATAATGTCTTATCACTGATTTCATCATTGCTTAGTTAATCTTAAGTTAATTTTAAGCCAGCCCGTAATGCTATGCATATAAGTGGCTTTGGCATGCTGCTCTTACCTGTATTTTTTGTACCTCTGTTTGTATGCTCAAATTACTAAATAAATAAATAAATAAATAAATAAACCCTAAATTATTACAAAGTGTGGACAAGTTGACTAAATACTAAGCGACTAAATACTAGTTTGTGAGTTTAGTAATGTGAATGCTACTCCACAAACTTGACCATTATGGTACAATAGGCCATGCGCTTAGATATTTCAAATCCTACCTTGCTAATAGGTATCAGTATGTCACCATTAAAGACTCAGCCTCATCAACATGGCCACTTGATACTGGAGTTCCACAGGGAAGTGTCCTTGGACCCCTGCTCTTCCTCATTTACATTAATGATCTTCCAAACGTATCCCAACACCTGAAACCCATTCTCTTCGCTGGAAATACCCTGACTGTGCTAGCTGTAAATAATGCATTACCATGTGTGTGTACTCACCTATTTGTGGTTGCAGGGGTCGAGTCCTAGCTCCTGGCCCCTGTGTGTGTGTGTGTGTGTGTGTGTGTGTGTGTGTGTACTCACCTATTTGTACTCAGCTATTTGTGGTTGCAGGGGTCGAGTCACAGCTCCTGGCCCCGCCTCTTCACTGATTGCTACTAGGTCCTCTCTCTCCCTGCCCCATGAGCTTTATCATACCTCGCCTTAAAACTATGTATGGTTCCTGCCTCTACCACATCACCTTCTAGGCTATTCCATGGCCTGACTACTCTATGACTGAAGTGTACTCACCTATTTGTACTCACCTATTTGTGGTTGCAGGGGTCGAGTCCCAGCTCCTGGCCCCGCCTCTTCACCGGTTGCTACTAGGCCCTCTCTCTCCCCGCTCCATGAGCTTTATCAAACCTCGTCTTAAAACTGTGTATGGTTCCTGCCTCCACTACGTCATTTTCTAGGCTATTCCACTGCCTTACAACTCTATGACTGAAGAAATACTTCCTACTATCTCTCTGAATTTCATTTGTGTCTTCAACTTCCAATTGTGGCCTCTTGTTTCTGTGTCCCCCCCCTGGAACATCCTGTCCTGTCCACCTTTTATTCCACGCGAAATTTTATATGTCGTTATCATGTCTCCCCTGACCCTCCTGTCCCCCAGTGTCGTCAGGCCGATTTCCCTTAAAATCTTTCTTCATAGGACATTCCCCTTAGCTCGAAACTAACCTTGTTGCAAACCTTTGTACTTTCTCTAGTTTCTTGACGTGTTTTTATCAAGTGCGGGTTCCAACAGGTGCTGCATACTCCAGTATGGGGCCTGACATAC